ATCGGCATCTGTAAACTTGACCCAAATGTGAATTCTTGGGCCTCTCCCCAGACCTACTGCAGCAGACGCCCTGGGGCTGAGGCCATGATTTGTGTTACCAAGCCTCCAGGTGATACCGATGTAGCAGAAGTTTGTAAATCCCTGGCTTAGAAAAGTGCTAACATCTGGCCTTGAGGATTTCTTTGGTACACACTAACAGAGGGATTTCAGACTTAGCATCTCTGAGTCCTCATCTACACAGTGGAGGTGATACCGAGCATCCCTTTATTCAACAAATATGGATTGCATCCCTACTGAGCCAGGATAGTGGACAGGAAAACCAGAAAGGACTTGAGATCTGAGAGCTTAAAGCCTGATGGGGAAAACAGATATTGAGCGAATCATCTCAAAATAAAAGTATATTGACCAACTGCAGTGAGCACGCTGGAGGAGAGCCACAGGCTCTGAGAGTTTGGAACAGGGACACCTGACCTAGTCTGAGGGCTTGGAGAAGCTTCACCAGGACAGTGACAATTGAGCTGTCAGCTGAAGGAGGAGAAAGTTGAGAAGGCTGCGGGGAAGGGAGTGTGGGGGTCCAGGCAGGAGGAAAGATCGGTGAAGCCCATGAGCAGGTGGGGAGGGCACCACCTGCTAAGGAGAAGTGGTCCCCAAATTTGTCTGAGCCCTGCAATCACCTGGGGAGCCTCAAAAATGACTGATGCCCAGGTTACACATATAGAGGTCATGATTCAGTTAAATATTAAACGAGTTCAGATGATTCTAACACAGGATGAGTCTGAGAACCACTGGACTGAAAGGGGAGACTGTACAGAGCGCAGAAGAGGAGAGGCGTGGGGAGAAGGCAAGGGGCCGGGTAGAGGATGCAGGTCTTTCTCTTAAGTGCAGGAAGTGCTGGGAGATGAGGGGCGGTGCCTCGAGAAGATCTGTACTTGGAAAAGATGACTCTGGTGTCACTAGGGAGAAGATGAATTTGGGGGAGGAGGAGGAGATAGAGATGAGATGATTGACCCGCCTCAGTACAGAGGACAAGGAGGTGGGGAATTCACGTGTGCATGCTAAGTCGCTTCAGTCATGTCTGACTCTTTGTGACCCCATGGACGGTAGCCCGCCAGGCTCCTCTGTCCATGGAAGTCTCCAGAAAGAATACTGCAGTGGGTAGCCATGCCCTCCTCCAGGGGATCTTCCCGACCCAGGCACTGAAGTCTTTTATGTCTCCTGCATTGGCAGGCCAGTTCTTTACCACTAGCACCACCTGGGGAGCCTGAGGAATTCATAATGGACTTTATTTCTGGCTTGCAGATGTGCAGAGGCTGGCAGAGGACTAGTTTTGGGGGAAACTGTGAGTTCGGCTTTGGGTGTATTGAGTTCATTGCAAAGTGGAGGAAAATTGCCATACTCAGTGACTTGCACAAGTAAGGAACTTGTGTGTCTCGTGTAACACGGAGACAGGGGCTGGAGTGGTGATCCCGAAGTGCTTTGAAGAGTTTAAACTCTGCACCTTTCTGCTCTGCCACCTTTGTGCTCATGGTTGTGGCTTTGCGATCCTGGGTGGCGCTGTCCCTCCGGCTGCCTGTCGCCATTGCAGGCCGGAAGCAGGAAGCAGCAGGAAGGGGGCCGCGAGGGAGTGTGGGTCACGGGAGCCTGGGTCAGGAGCGTGCACGCTTTCCCTCAGCTCCTCCCCTGTGCCCTTCGGGCCATGACTGTGCGCCTGCCCGCCCCAGGGGGAAGGCAGTCTGGGGCAGCACACTGCACCCCAGACAAAACTAAGGGTCTGGTCATAGGGATAAAGGGGAACGGACAGTGGGTGCCTGGCATGGTGCATACCCTTCAGATGTGTCTTGACAGCCAGGGAGAGAAGCCGGGCAGGTCGCTGAGAGGGAGTGGGGGTGAGCATTTCACGGGCACGATTGTAGCAATGGCATTACAATCCTTTCCAGTGAAAAGGGAAACCTTTCCTTTGTGACTCCTTCTGTTACCCCAGTGATCAGTGTCCAAGTTAAAGAAATTAGTAATCTTGATCTAGGTCTTTCTCCTAAGTAGTTTTGAGAATCATATGATCCTTGGGCTTACAAGTGTCTGGTCAGCTGACAGGACAGCTTCAGTCTTATGGTAGAGGCTGTCATCAAAATAAGTGCCTGGGTGGCCCTCCCTGCTGGTGCAGGGGTTAGGAATTCCTCTCCAGTGGAGGGGACATGAGTTTGACCCCTGGTCTGGGTAGATTCCAGATGGCACCAGGCGACTAAGCCCAGTACCACAACTACTGGGCCCATGTGCAGCAGCTGCTGAAGCCTGTGTGTTCTAGAACCTGTGCTCTGCAACAAGGGAAGCCCACGCAGGGCAACGAAGCCCCCACTCGCTGCAACTGGAAAAAGCCCATGTGTAGCAATGAAGACTCAGTGCAGCCAAAAAAATGTCTGGGTGTCTACTAGGTGGGGGCACTGCATTAAATTCTTGAGCACTGTTGGCCTGTGTATGTGTGTGTGTGTATGCATGCATACACGTGCATACTCACTTCTGGGTATGGGTGACTGTGAAAAATGGCCCCTATTCTAGTATACCCGTAGGTGATATGACTTTGCTTATCTTCTCATTGAGGCAAGAGATCTATTTCTCCACCTCTTGAGTCTGGCCTTGGCTGTGTGACATTATCAAATGTGAGGTAGGTAATATAGCTTGTAAAACTTCTCTTTAAAATTGAATTATAATTGATCTACAATATTCTATTGATTTCATTACAGAGCTTCTGTGTACTGAGGCTTGCCCTCTTATTGAAGAACCCTGGATCATGGCCACATGAATGGGTGCAGGCTAGTTTGTTGGGTGTCAAGTTTGCTCCTGTCATCCCAGCTGATATTGTGCCAACACCAGACCCAGAAGCTGAGATCATTCTAGACCACCCAGTCCTGGCTGAGCTAGCCTAGCCCAGAAAAATCACCCAGTTTACCCACAGAATCGTGGGAAACAACAAATACTGTTTTAGTTGCTAAGTTGGGTTTCTGGGGTAGCATGTTACACAGCAAAAGCTAGGTGACACATGTGTAGCTCACATGAATTTTTCTTGCATTGCGTTGTGTACTGTTTCAGGGAGGCAGTATTGAGTAGAAGCTCTGAATATGGGTTTTGGGGTTGAAAATCTGGCTTACACACTTCCTAGCTGTGAGATTTGTTAGGGCTATGCCACATTTTCCTTGAGTGTTAGATGGGAAAATAAGAGACTTTGTAGCACTTCTGTGAGGATTAAGTGAGTTGACTGACAGGTCCTCCATGCTGTATCTGGCCTATGTTCGACTCTCAGTAATGTTCCTTATCCTTGGGACTGTTATCTGTGTTAGAGGTGGCATTGGGTTTTACTGCCCAGCAGACACTTATGGGGCTTTCCACAGTTGCCAAGAACCCCCCTGCCAATGTGGGAGATGCAAGACACACGGGTTTGATCCCTAGGTCTGGAAGATCCCCTGGAGGAGGAAATGGCAACTCACCCCAGTATTCTTGCTTGGAAAATCTCATGGACAGAGGATCCTGGTGGGCTACAGTCCATGGAATCAAAAAGTCAGACATGACTGAGCAACTAACACACACAGACACTCATGAGAGCAGGACTTCGTTGTGACTCAGAGTTGGGTCTCGGTCAGACTCTGCTGGGCTCCTCTCATAAGCTCACATTTTATTTTGGGGGAATAGGATTTAATCAGCGAAATGAGCATTGAAGGCAGCTTATGAGGAGTATGAAGCCATAAAAGAGAAAGAAAGACCTGATTGGCAGTACCCAAAGGAACGTTCTCTCCTCCAGCTTCCAAGGAGCCAACAGAAGACAGAGAAGTTCGGTCAAACCCTCGCCTTGTACGGAGGTGAAGAAGAGGCTCAGCGTATTAAGCATCTGCCCAAGGCTGTCTGTCTACCGGGGTCCCTTCCCCCAGCTTGGCACATGCTGTTACCTTCCCCATGCCTCCCCCCGCCCCCACTAGGCCATCATCCCTCTAGCAGGGCTCAGGGAGAGTGAATTGCAGCTTTCCCCCCTTAAATCGATAAAATCCACAAACCTCATTAGACCGTGAGGAATTATGCCAGATTCTGCAAGCGAGGCTGTGCCTTGGGGTGGGGTGTGTCAATCAAATACTGCTATTCTCCAGGGCTGCCTTCCAAGGTGACTCTTTGGAGGTAGCTTTTGACAGGCCGAGGCTATTTTCGTCCATTCATTCTGCCTTACCTGGACAGGGGGGCGGCTTGCTGGGGGCTCCCGGACTTGGTTCCCCGCTTCCATCTTGCACACTGTCTTGATCTCTGTGTGGATGTGGAGTTCTGCCGACTGGCCAGCCTCCCCTCTACCTGCAATCTGGCTGCTTAGTGATGGTACAGCTCCCTGGCAATAACCTCTTTGCTGGGTCCCTCTGACCCTCGACTTCCTCGCCGGGGGCCTGGCTATTCCCTACTGCCTACACTCTCAAGGGTGTAGTCCAGTTTTACCATCAGGGCCTCCCCAGGCCCCTGCCCCAGCATCTAGTGGCTGATGCTTGGTTTGAGTGGGTGCAGGGTAGTTTTGTGGCAAGCCTGACTTTGCTGATGGGGGCCACAGGGGTGGCAGAGACTGGGAGCCCCCTCTGTGCAGCCCCGGGAGTTCCCTTGGGCTTGCCACGCCTCCTGACAGGGTCTTGTCTGCAGGTTTTTAATTACCAGCCCTTTCCCATCATTAGGAAGGACATTAAATCAGGCTGGCTGATTGCCAAGGTGATGCTGGCCCTTCCAGACTGGAGGGGGAGAGGGCCATTCTCTTTTCAAGTTGTCAGTCTTGCCTTTTTTCCTGGACCAGCTCTGAAAAGGAGGACAAAACACAGACAAAAGCAGCCAACACGTCGAGCTGCCCAACGAAGCCCAGAAGAGGGGAGGGGAGCGGAGCAGGCTCATCAATAGTGCTTTTGTCTGTTGGGGGCTTTTTAACACTCTCGCTCTGAGCAAATAAAGAGTTTGCTTTCTAAGCATCAAATTCTAAATGGGCTCAAAAATTATGGAGGAATTTCTCTGGCCGTAATTAAGCTGTTCCCAGATTCAGCAGGTTTAAAGCCCTGAAGAATTTCAAGCCGGTGTGTCAGAGACATTCTGGGCTTGAGCCAACGCAGAGGGCAGGGGCAGTTCATCAGGACCCCGTCCTTGAGAGCAGGTGGGCCCCCGCCCTGCGTCTGGCTGCCTGGGGCCTGTTCTGCTGAGCCGGAGGTCAGGGCCTGTGCGCGCGTGCTGTGGTCTCCCCTGGCCTCCTGTACCCTCTGGTCAGCCTGAACAGAGGGCTTGGCCTTCGCCCTTCTTTGGGAGTCGGATGGAAGACCCACGGGGCAGCAGTCAGGAAGGCAAGAGGAGATGAGGCCTGAGAAGAAGTGGGGCCAGGCTCCCTAGGCCCTGCTTGACCCCATCTTGAGCTGTAGAAGGCATTTTAAAAATCTGGGTCTTAGTTTTGGCGCAGGGCAGAACTTCAGGGTGGCACAGAGAGCCTCCAGGTGTGGTGTGCTGGCTCAGTAGTTCTGCTGTATGGACTTAGTTACTCGGGGGCACGTGGGATCTTAGTTCCCTGGCCAGGGATCAAACCCACAATTCCTGCATTGCAGGGTGGATTCTTAACCACTGGACCACCAGGGAAGTCCTCATGGAAGGGATTTTGAACCAGTGATGCGATCAGATGTGCTTCCTGGAAAGCTGACTCTGGCAGAGGAGGAGATGCAGAGGCGACCAGCTTGGAGGCCAATGGAACAGCCCAGGCAAGAGAGGATGGTGCTCTGGATCAGAGCAGGAGGAGGAACTTAAAAGCTATGTAGTTCGATCCCTGGGTTGGGAAGATGCCCTGGAGAAGGGAATGGCAACCCACTCTAGTATGCTTGCCTGGAGAATTCCATGAACAGAGGAGCCTGGCGGGCTACAGTCCACGGGGTGGTGAGAGTTGGACATGACTGAGCGCACACACACACACACAGGGGTTCCACTAGATTCACAGTTTGGAATTGGGCCAGGGAGCGGAAGTGCTGTCAGCAAGGACTCCCTAGAAGCTGAATCCTGGATGGGTGGATGCTGGTGCCACTCACTGATAGAGGGGACCATGGCGGGCAGAGGGCAGCAGGGCTGAGGTGGCAAAGTATGCGTTGTGTGTGTGTCTGTGTGTCTGGGTCTGAGGTGTGTGTATGTTAATGATGCGCCTCGTTCGTGGAAGTGAGGAAAACAGAATTTTGTCCTCTATTAGCCATCAAATGTCGACCACTGGAGGCTTCTCTGGTGGCTCAGATAGTAAAGGATTTGCCTGCAATGTGGGAGACCTGGGTTCGATCCCTGGGTTGGGAAGACCCCCTTTAGGCGGGCACTGCAACCCACTTCAGTACTCTTGCCTGGAGAATCCCATGGACAGAGGACCCTGGCGGGCTACTGTCCATGAGGTTGCAAAGAGTCGGACATGACTGAGCAACTAAGAATGAGCACTCTGGTTATATTAGAGAGCAATGAGAAGAAGATAGTGTCTATTTAATTTTTCTGTAGCTTTTTAAAGTTTTTTTTTTTTTTTTAATGTGGACCATTTTTAAAGTCTTTGTGGAATTTGTTACAATATTGCTTCTGTTTTTCATGTTTTTTTGGGTCACAAAGCAGGTGGGATCTTAGCGACTAGACCAGGGATTGAACATGTCACCCCCTGCATTGGAAAGGGAAGTCTTAGCCGTCAGACTACCGGGGAAGTCCTCCTTCCCTGTAGATTTTGACCAAGCTTCCCATGCATTTTCCAGTCTGTCTCTTACATACCTGGAGGCAAGTGTGGTTGTCACAGTTTTTTTTTTTTAATTTTTATTTTTGGTTGTCACAGTTTTGAGAGGGCTACTAGGAGCGGCAAAGGGCTTTGTCCAGGACGGCAGACAGGACCACGATCTAGGTGAGCAGACTGCCTGGATTGAAGACTGAAGGCATTTTTCTAGGTACCAGAGGGCGCTAAGCTGACCCTGAGATGTGGGTGGACAGGTATAATGCTTTCCCCTCCTACTCCTGCGGATTCTCTCCTCCCTGGGGTGGGACCGAATGGACCCAGTTGAGCTGAGGCGCGCACACAGCAGTCCCAGCGTTTCCACCCGATGCCTATGTGGCGTGTTCTGGCAGCTGCCAGCCTGCTGTGTGCGAGTCTGGTGCCCGCCCCCACCCTCCCAGGCTCCAACCCTGGCCAGTGAGGGCTGGGCCACTCATTCCCTTTCTAAGGAGACCTGTGTCCTCTCCTCTCTGGAGGGCCCTGCCTGGAGGCATTTGTCTCTCCCCAACTGCTGTGTGTGACCTGAAAGCCAGGGTACAGATGCGTCTGAAAGCCTGAGCATCCACCTTCCAGCTAAAGGTCTCCTGCCTTCCTCAGCTGACTTGGGCAGCCGGCCCCTTGTCTACCGTCCTTGGCCTTGGTCCTGTCCTTCTCAGAGTCTAGCTCCTTCCTCTTCACTCTCAGGCTCCAACCCTCAGGTGAGGAAGGCTGGGCAGAGTCTAGTAGATTTCACTGATGCTTAGATCGACTGTCTAAGCTGGTTGTCAGGAAGGAGCCAGAAGACCACACCACTGTGTCGTCCAGTGCCGAGAACAAGTAAGGAGCGTGCTCCCCGAGGGTACCTTGACTGGTCCTTCTCCAAGGGACTGAAGGTCTTGGCATTACAGGACGGTCTTTGAGCTGTGGCAGTGATGGTGTCAGGTTCCCTAGTAGCTTGGAACGTCCCCTTCCGTTCCTGATGGGTGGGAGGCCTCCTAGCGAGGGCCTTTCCCCTCATCTCTTGTCAGGACTTCACCATCTCTCATCCCCAGTCCTCAGTCTCTGCGAGGCTCTTGGAGGTCTGTTTCTGTCGGGCTGCGCCTTGCGCATCTACAAAGCCTGTGCTCGCCCAACTCCAAGACAGAAGGAAGAGCCAGGAGCTGGCAGCAGAGACATCTGTGGTTTCACGGATGGGGGAGCTTACACCCAGCTTCCCGAAGCAGGGTCCTGGAGCTACCCCCACTGTGTTCCGCTGACACAGTGGCTGTCAGGTTGGCAGGACACAGTGGCAGTCTTTGCTCCCATGGGTGGGACGGGACGGTTGCCAATTATAGGGGGAATTGATGTCCGGTTGGCTCACCGGTTACCAGGGAACCTAGCAGAAGGGCACGCCCCTCACCGCCCCTTGGACGAGCGTAGTGGAGAGTTCTGATATATAGCTGGAACAATCCTAGCTGGGGCCTGGGGCTGGTCAGTCAGGGAAGTAGGTATTGGTGAAGCAGGCGCTGATCGAGCAGGTCATGTACAGAGAGCAAGAGAGCAACCATCTTGAGTCACCCGACCATAATTCACATTTTGGTCTTTTTATTCTAATTAATTAATTAATTAATCTTTGTTATTTATTTTTAATTTTGAAAATTAATTGAAGTATATACTCTTAAAAGATTTTTTTTTTTGATGCAGACCAGTTTTTAAAAGCGTTCAGTGAATTTGTTACAATGCTGCTTCTGTTTGGGTTTTTGGGCCTCAAGACATGTGGGGTCTTAGATTCCCAACCGGGGATCGAACCTGCACCCACTACACTGGGAGCTCAGAGTCTTAAACACTGGACCACTAGGGAATTTCCTGAAGTATAGTTGGTGTACTGCATTTTAGTCTTCATTCTAGGAAGTTTTATTAGTCTTCATTAGTCTTTATTCTAATCATCACATTTGTGATGATTATAAAATCTGACCTTGGAAGAATCCTTAGCCGGGCTTAGGCTGCGGCTAGAAGTCTTAGAATGGAAGTTGGGCATTAAGAAATGAGCTATTCAACCTGTGACATTTTTCAGTGGGGGAAGTGGAGGCACAGAATGGGGGAGGGACCCAACCCCCCACAGCCAGTACCGGACGGAGCCCGTCCCCCGACTGCCCAGCCCCTCTGCACGCCAAGTGCTCGAAGTTTGTCGGTTCGTCACAACAGCTCACCACGAAGAGATGTGTGCGTGTGTGCTCAGTCGCTTCAGTCGTGTCCAACTCTCTGCAACCCTATGGACCGTAGCCCTCCAGACTCCTCTGTCCGTGGGATTCTCCAGGCAAGAATACTGGCGGGGGCTGCCATGCCCTCCTCCAGGGGGTCGTCCCGACCAGGGAGGGAACCTAGGTCTTCTGCACTGCAGGGAGATTCTTTGCTGCTGAGTCACGGGGGAAGCCCACGAAGGGGGCTACGCACACACAGGAACAGCTGTCGTCATTCGCAATGACTGCGATGGAGGCCCTAGCCCAGCTCCGAGAGGCTGGCAGCTGGATCTCGGGTGGGTGGGTGAGCGCGGGGGCTGTGAGCGTGTCCCGGGCAGGGCCCCTTTGGGCCTTGCATGAATTCAGTCCCTCCGCATGACTGCCAGCGAGGGAGGCTGGCAGCCATGAGTCTTGGCACAGGGAGCCAGGGTCAGGCTCACAGGGTCTGGCTCCCATGAGGTGTTCTAGTGGATTCCACCTGAGTCAGGATGGCTGGGATTCCAGAACCCGGGAACCCGGGCTCCCAGGACACTGCAAGAGGTCCTCATTGCGAAAGTCTGCCGGACAGGAAAAACTCGCTCATTTTCCCGATGATGTTACACGAGATGTAGGTGCATTGTGCTCTGAGCAAAATGATCCTTTCTGTCAGACAGGGACTTGCTAGCTGATAGAGGAAGCCGCCTTCCCTCCTAGATTTTCCCTGTCGCGGGCTCAGCCTTATAATCCGGCCCTGCCCCATAATTTGGAAGAACAGCAGTAACGATGACAACCAAAGCTAGTTGTATCCGCAGGGAGAGTCCTAGGAGGTGCACTATAATTATCTAAATTAGACTCCGAGGGGGACTCGAGGTTTACAACCCCGTGTTCTCTGCCACAGAAAGCACTGCTGCTAATGTCTCTTTTTGCTGAGGGTGTGGCTTGCAGTAAAGTGCCTCAAGGCCAATTTCAGGTGATTCCCAGAACTGTGCTGTTTGCCAAAAGCTACACAGAGAGTTCATTGTATCTCAGGGTGGTGGCGTTTGGGAGGGCTACTTCTAGAAGCTTCTGAGAGTTGCCATGTTTCGTGAAGTAAAGTTTAGGCTTTCTCCCACATCACGTTCCCATCAAGAAGCGTACAGTTCTTGCATTTTCTTACATCTTAATCACTCCAACTTTCCCATGGGGTGTACGTGTGTGTCCCACTTAGTGGCGTGCATATGTGCTAAGCTGCTTCAGTTGTGTCCAACTCTTCGTGACCCCATGGACTGTAGCCCCCAACTTCTCTGTCCATGGGACTACCCAGGCAAGAATACTGGAGTGGATTGCCACTCCCTTCTCCAGAGTAAAGTGACTTTTAAAAATGGCTTTTATGTTCCGTCACAAGAGTTGCCGCTACCTTAGGACCAGAGGAGACCT